AAAGCACCATTTTTGAACTTCCCGCCCTTTTCCCCTGCTTTTTCCCCCCGCAGGGGGAGAGCGGAGACAACCACAAAATGGCTGCCGTCTCTCCGCTGTTCGGCGCTCTGGTCACACAGAGTCCGGCTGTTCCAGGGCTACCAAGGCACCGTGAGGAGTGGGCTCAGTCTACAGTATCTGGTACTGTAAATGACTTTGTTCTGACTTTTTTTTGTTTCTGAGTTTTTCGCTCATAGGAATGCATTAATTAAATTTCAATGCATTCCTATGGGAAACCGCGCCATGCAAGCCTAAAATTTCACAAGACGACATGACTCGCAGAACGAATTAATTTCATTTTGCGAGGCATCACTGGCTCAATTATTTTCAAGCTATTTCTCAATTACAAGGTAGAAATGGCTGAAATCTTGTTGCTTTTTTATATAGGCAAAAGGCAGCTGGCGTAACATTCACTCACTTCCAGGCATTCTGATTCATTGGGGGGAGGGGGAGAGCACCTGTTGGCTTGGACACACTCCAGAAGCTTGGTAGAGACTCTTTAATTACCACCGGGAAAAGAGTGGATGCTATGCCACCTGCCTTCTGCCTGTGTAAAAAGCAACAGGATTTAAGTCCACATGTGTGAAGATATAGAATCTTAGAATCATAGAATAGTGAAGTTGGAAGAGGTGTATAAGACCATCAAGTCCAATCCCCTGCTCGATGCAGAAATACCAATCAAAGGATATCTGCAAGGTGCTTGTCTAAGTTTCTCTTGAATGCCTCCAGTGTTGGAGCACTCACCACCTCTCGAGGTAATTGGTTCCACTGTCCTACTGCTCTATGTACCAACACTCTTAACTTGCCTGAAAGCAACCACGGATTTAGAATAGTTAATTAGTTTGAAGCATGCAGTTTTCAGCAAATGTTGGATTGCAGTTAAAGGAATTCTTACCTACAGCTCTTCCTGTCTGTACAACATTCCGACTAGTAGTTACCATGGCATTTCCAATCTTCTTACCCCGTTCACTATTCTGAACAGAACTAAACAAGGGCAGAAGAACAGGAAAGGTCAGCTGAACTCTGCCATTTCCAGTAAACTAGATTTAAATGGCAAATATTTAGCATAGGTTTAGTAATTCTGTTTCCACTTCCCAGGATACCAAGCCCCAAATAAAGAAAACCCTCAGCAAACAAACATATTAAAGCATATTCAGGCATAGTACTTACTGTGATAATCTTAATTTTACATCTGAAACAGAGTACTGGCCCTGGAATGGATGACTAAGAAGTGGTTCAGAGAAAGGCAGGAGGAAAGAAAAACAGAAAAGGAAACAAAATGAAAATTTGAGATCTTTTATCAATCATACAAAAAAAAACATGAACATGTCATTATCCACTCCTCAGACCACATTAAAACAAACCCATGTTTTATTTTCATATTTTACATTTTAGCACAGAATAGCTTTCAGAAGATCCAATTTAGGAGTACAAAAATTTTTAGACTGATTTGCCTTCGATTTTTTTTTTTTTTTTTGCCCAGGCAACATCCAATTTTTCCTTGAATTTATTCCCCCATTTGTTCCTTCTTCTGCCTCCAGTCTATCTTCCCTCTTCTCTCACTGTTCTGAAGTCCATTGGTTTTCAGGCGCTCATTTCAGAATGCTTGACAGTTCCCTTCTTTACTAACTTTATGGTATGTAGTGAATAGAAACAAGAGCCTCTCCACGTCCAAACAATTTAAGCTGATTTGAAATGAAGCAATCTTTTAAGGCAGAAAGCCTCTGAACCTAAAACGTTAAAATGCCAACCAATATGAAGGTCAAAGCAATATCCATAGCACAGGTATATTAGACTCTAAGGGCCTGGCCTGTTTTATTTTGAAAGCTAATTCTCTGGAATGTGTCATATTTAGATTCATATTAGACTTCAGAACTTCACACACAAAGCACCTGCAAATTCTCCAGTATTCAGAGTGCCATATTAAATTCTGACTGCAGAATGGCCTTCAGATAAAGATCCCTCTAAGTTTCATGGCTGCGTGTGTGGCTCTGCCTGCCTCCTCACAGCTTTCCTCCTCCTCCACCCAGCCCCTTTGGTTCTGGTTGTAACGGAATCCCGTGCGCGTACAGGGGGTGGAGTTGTGTGCAGGAGAGGCAGAGCCCTGCCCAACAAAGCTGAAAATTAAGAGGGTACTTTGCCTTCAAGGAAACCTAATTGGCTACATCCAATTACTAGTTCCAACTAAAGTATATCCGCTGAATCAATGGGAGTTATGTATATCTTAACCAGCCCCACTGATTGAGTGAATCCAATCTAATTGGCACTAACAACTGGATTTGGCCCCCACCCTCTGAAACAAGCACTGAGAAAGACATGGGGGGGCAGGGTGTCTTTAAAAAAAGGAGTGTTTCATTTCTGGGCCTGATACCTTAGGTCCTTTTCAAGAAGAAAGGCAGGGTAAAAACTTTCAACCAACTGACCGACCAACCAACCAACCAACCACTCACAAGATATCTCAACAATAGTAAGACTGCTTTTGCAATCAAGGCCCTTAAAATGTAAGTGATCCACAAATTGCAGTTTCTCAAGTCATTTTATTGATAGGAGCTTCCTGACTAGGCCAGCACTAAAGAATCGGCCAGTCAAGGATCACTGACCAAATATCATGCTGCTGCATAACTCACTGGATTTGGCTGTGTGCCAGTAACATTTGAGCCAAATGAATGATTTGTATGCTTCCTACATGGGTTTTCCTAGGCAATCAGGAATTTTATTTACCAAGCAATTGTCAAAGTGTGCCTAGCCTTTCAATACCGATTACGTTTTCAACTAAGTGACCCTAAACTATGGCTGCTCCATAATAATATTTGATAATATTTCTTACCTAGGATTTACCTCTGCAAGAGCTGGATGTCTATTGCTGTTCCATACTCTGTAATTGTGTGTATTTTTCCAAGCTGCTACAAAGGCTGTCCCAAAATCTGATAATATTTTTTCATTTTCTGATTAATAAAAAACAAGTAAACTAAGTGAATCTACCATGCTTTACATACTGCATGCATGCATTTTAAAACAAAATATATGTTCTGCAAAAAAAGATATATATAACTCAGAAGTACTGTACTGAGAGTAACAAGAAGGGAGAATTTCACTATAGCTGGTTGTCTTGCTATTTTTCTACCCCTAATTACTCATAGGTCATAACAAGCATTGGCACTACAGCTGCTTTTCAGTGCTACAGTCTCTTTGTATGGCATAAGTCTGAATGGAAATGTCACACTAGTTTCTAAGCCTGTTTTGTGCCTGGGTTAACAAAAAGGAGAGAAGTACAGAGCCAAGTGTAACAAGCTTACATATACATGTTTCCTTACTGAAACTCAATGAAGCAACTCATTTTTCTTTTACAAGAATTAATGCATGTCCAGTTGCTTCAATGTCCATGGAATCCATTGCCAGAATTGGAATTTTGCCATGCATTGTTTATGTGTAAAAAGTTTTATCAGATGAGACTTCTATAAACAAAACAACAAATATCACAGGACTGAAAAGGAAGTTTAGTTTAAAATCAAAAGGAATTAACAGCATCCTTTAAAAGCAAACAGGTGACAAAGGCGCAGGGGAATAGCTTGAAGAGATGGAGAACTGAAGCAAGAACTTTTGTGTGCAAAAACTAGGTCAGGAACAGCATTTGGTAAAGACTATGAACTGCTGATATAAAAGACTAGTATAAAGGTAAAAAAATACTGTACTTAAAACAATCATAGTGCCAAAATATAATTTACATAACATTCTTGTTCAATTTAAAGTCAATGCAAAGAACAGCTTAGCATTACCAAGCCTATGTAACTGACAATAAACCAGAAGACCTGTGAATTGAAACTAGAAATAAAATCAGGAAATAATGCAAAGAAATTTCCTGCAGTGAAAAGAAAAGACAAGTCCTGATGAGTGACTGAGAAAACTGAACATTGTTAATGACATACAAGAAGCAAAAGTAAAGGGTGACAAATCCTAAATACAATACAATTTTTCAGCAACTTGCATGTGGGAACAAAGAGAAGCATTCTAATGGGGGGGGCAGAACAGAACGACAACAACAAAAGTGTATGCTAGGGGCAGTCTATTCCATAAGATCCAAGAAAACAAAGGAGAATTCAAACCAAGAGTAGAGAGGCTGAAGGATCAACTGAGAAATAGATCACCTAATCAGGATAAAATAAAGAGAAGTTGGAAAAAATATACTGAAGAACTATACAGGAAAAATGATAGACTCCTTTGAAAAAGAATCCTATTAATAAGACTGGCAGTTTTCAAAAGTGAAGTGAAAAGTGTTCTGACAGCAATAGGAAGAAATATATTACCAGGAGAAGAGAGGGTAAAACAGACCTAGTTCAAGCTACAAAGTCCAAATCTATCAAACACCTGAAAAGGGCAAAAAAACAAAAAACAAAATAATGGTTCACAGACTAGAAATGTTGAATATAAATTCTACTCTCCAAGAAAAGAGATGCCAAAGACTGTAGTAATAGTAGGATCACTGCACTAATTTTCCATGAAAGCAAAGTGATGCTCAATGTTTTTATTCCAAATATTTCATAATATATGGAGTGAAAAATGACAGATGTTCTGGATTCAGAAAAGTTAGAGGCACTGGAGATCATGGCTGTCATCCAGTAGCGAGTCACAACTACAATAGGCTCACTGAGGAGTTGGCTTATCAAATCCTCACTGATTCAACAGGCCAACTCTAGTTTACAACTTACTACTGGATTCCTGCCCATGTTGCAAATATATATTGGCTACTGGAAAATACAAAGAATTTTACAAAAATATCAGTTTGTGTTTTATAGATTAAAGGAAAGCCTTTGACTATATCACTGGTTCTTAACCTTGGGTTACTCAGGAGTTTTGGACTGCAACTCCCAGAAGCCTTCACCACCTGCTGTGCTGACTGGGGTTTCTGGGAGTTGCAGTTCAAAAGCATCTGAGTAACAAAGGTTAAGAACCACTGGACTATATGGATTAAAAGCTATGGATTATTCTAAAAGAAATGGGTGTGCTTGATTGTACTCATTGCATAACCTATACTGTAGACAAGGAGATACTGTTATGACAGAATATAGAAAAACTGAATGGTTTCCATCTGGCAAAAGGCCAAGGGTGCATTTTGTCTACCCATCCATTCACTTCATATGCAGAGCATATATAAGCTGGAGAACATTCAGAGGAAGGAAGAGTGGGAAATGGTGGAAAAAACATCACGCAGGATATGCAAGTGATACCATATTGCTGGCAGAAAATACTAATGCCTTGAAATGATTGCTGAGGAAGGGGGAAGAAGACAGTTCAAAAGAAGGGTTAAGTTCAATATTAAAAAGACAAATCATGACTACAGAAGAATAACATAACTTTAATGTTGACAAGGAAGAAGTGGTTAAACATTTTGTATACCTCAGTTCAATCACCAATCCAAACGGAGACTGCATCCAAGAAATCAGAAGAGTAAGACTAGAAAAAACTCTGAAGTATGTGTTGATGGAAACAATGTCAAGATCACACATACCGGTTCCTAACTATAATGTACAGATATGAAGTTGGGCAATGAAAAACTCATTTGAAACTCAATTAATTTGAAATGCTGGCAAATTATATATATGAATTTTATTCACATCTCCAAGAAGTCAAGAATATCTCATGCAGCAAATTTCTATAATCAAGAAAACAGAGGATCGGGGGGGGGTCCAAAATTTTAAATGTAGCACTCCAGATAAAACAAATATTTCATATTCTTATTGGCTCCCAATCTCCAACATAACTACCAGAGGAAATAAACTCCCAAGATCAGGAAAAACTGAAAGTACTTTTATTTCTCCCTATAAAATATAATTTTATATCACAGATAACTAACCCATTCCTTAGAAATGCAATAAAAATTTGGAAAAACTGGCAAAATATTTTGTTTTCTGTTCCATCCCCATTGACTCCCCTCCTTAGCCATCCTTTAGTTTATAATATTGACAAATGGAATCAATTTACATTGTGGATACTATTATTTATATCAATTAAGAGATTTGTATAAAAGTTCTTGCCTCAAATCAGGGATAATACTGTTAAATTAAGCAACTTCTTGGTTTCAAATATTTCAGGTTGTCAATTTTCTTCCCTCCAAGCAGTGAAAATACAGGACACTAGGCAATTAACTGAATTTGAAACATTGCTACTGGCCTCAGAAAATATCCATTGGCTGGCTTCAAAATACTAACTGAATCCCACTATGGCTGTAAATTAGGTCCCAAAGTTGTTTGGGACAGCAATTTGCAGATGACCATACCTGATGTAAAATGACAGGTTCTACTGGACAAGGCTCCTCTCAGAACAATTTTCAAATTTAAAGAGCATTCTATCTACACAGATGGTATTTTACACCACTCTGTTTAAGTTATATCATTAAAGAAGTCAGTTTATCCTGTTGGAGGAAATGTGGGAATATTGGTACAGTACATACTTTCATAGGTAGTGAACATGTCCTCCAGTCCAGTTGTTCTGGTCCAGAGTTTTTACAGAAACAGAATTAATCACAGGGCAATATTATTAGGTTACCAGATCTAGCTCTTCTCTCCTATTTTCAGGCAAAAACAAATTGCTAATTCACACAGTTGATTTTTTTATGTGTGGCACCACATTTGGAAATTGCCACAAACTGGGAACAATAATCATGTCATCAAATCAATTCTGATTTATGGCACGGAAATTGTAATTTATCTTTACATGCATGGAGAAACAGAATATGCTCAAATGCAAAAATTAACACATCAGTTCAAATTACTTAAACAACCACATTCCCAGGATGACTTTTTCAACACACGGATTCCTTTTAATTTTTTTAATGTTAATAAGAATGACAAGACTTACCGTATTTTTCGCTCCATAAGACGCACTTTTTCTCTCCAAAAAGGTGGGAGGGAAAGTACATGCATCTTATGGAGTGAATACAGTAACCCAGGGCTCAGCCACCACCACCCAAAAGCCTCCCACTGCCATGCTGGGAGGCCTCTGAACTGGTAGCAGAGACTGCTTTCTGTTTGGACCTCACCATTCTGCACTGCTAGCTTTCCAGGATCTGCTTCCTGCAGCCCACCTAGAAAACCAGCAAGGCAAACAGGCCTATGGCAGCAAGCAGTGAAAATAGCCAAGGACCAAAGGATGGTTCTAGAAAGACCAAGGGAAACCACAAACACAGTCTCCCACTTAGGCAGTTGACTTTCCCACATTTGGGGAAATCACAGGGGTCAGCTCATCCGAAGTGCAATAGATGAGCCTTACCCTGGGAAAACCACTTTTACAACAATGGTATCTCCCCTGCCAGGTCTGAGTTTGAATG